TAAGCAGAGGTTGAGGGACTCCAGTTAGTCTGAGTTTCTTAATGTAGTAGGTTAGACGAAACACTTTCTTGGAAATCATTTGGATATGAGATGACCAAGTAAGGTCGGAAGATATAACTAATCCGAGGTATTTTGCATTAGACTTTGTTTCAATTATAGTCCCCTCGATTCTACAGACATCATGAGTGCTTACTAGTGTTTGTAGATCTCGTTTATGCCTAAAGGAGAAGTCGACAGTCTGGCATTTTGAGGGATTCAGCGTTAGGCCATTTATTTTAGACCACTGACTGATGTCCGACAGGAAGCTATTTAATTTGAAGCAGTCTGACTGAGACTTAACGGGAAGCGAAACAGTCAGGTCATCTGCATATTTGACGAAGTTGATTTCGTCTGAGAGAGGTAAGTCATGTAAGAAGAAGGAAAAGAGAAACGGCGAGAGAACAGCACCCTGAGGAACACCAGCTTCAGTAAGCAAAGGAGAGGAAGCTACACCATTATATACCGTGTACTGCATCCTATTGGAGAAGTAAGAGTGCAGCCAGTTGATAGCCCAGGACTCAGTTTGTGTAAGGCTAAGCTTGTTTAACAAAAGGCCTCTAGGTACAGAGTCAAAAGCAGATGTGTAATCAAGGAAAGTACAACGGACATACTTGGCCCCTTTGTCTAAGGAGGATACAATGTTGTGATGAAACACAGCAGCAGCATCCAAAGTACTTCTACCCTGTTTGTAAGCAAACTGCTTTGGATCATTTGAGAAGCTTAGGGAGGGAATGAGTTTTTGTAACAGTAATTTCTCCATCAGTTTCAAGAAAGGAGAGGTAATGGCAATTGGTCTAAACTTAACACTATCTCCAGAACCAGACTTGGGTACAGGGATGATTTTAATATCTTTCCACAGAGAAGGTACATTATTATTAGAAAAAGAAGTATTGAAAATGCTTGTAAGTGGGTTACTTAAAATATCAGCACATTTCTTTAAAACAATGGCAGGTATACCATCAGGGCCTAGACTCTGGGAAGGTTTAAGAGATTTCAAACATTTAAGAACATCAGAAGTATTGAAACGATGAAAGTCACTGGTCGTGTTATTAGTTAAATTGAAGGCAGAAAGGACATTTGGAGGGCGGATGAAAGATCTATTGAGAGTATTTACATCAATAGAAGAGGCAAAATTATTATGCTTACCACAACCAGTAATTTCTCTAAAAAGCTTCCATATGTTTTCTGAGGTTTTACAAGATAGTATTGTTTGATTATAAATGTTGTTTAGTCTCTTGATTTCAGATTTAATTTGGGTGTTTATCTTCTTAAGACCAGATTTATTCTTTGTCTTGTACAGCTTCGTCCGTCGCGAGTTTCAACCCACCGAGGTGCAATGGTGAGCCTCCACCCGTGGTCAGAGCATTCTTGATCACCCTGAACCCGGCGCTAGGTAACAACTAGAAGCAAAGCGGATCAGGATTCCACTGCCAGCCAGCATCGAAAGACAAGACAGATCTTCAACACTCTAAAATTACCAACATGATGAACAACATTCAGATTTTCAACACCAGTGTTAAGCAAGCTGTCCTCTATGATTCAGAGACTTGAATCATGCTTCCCGAAGAATGTTCAAAACAGGCCAGTGCAGACTTTTATCAGCAGCTGCCTTCACTGGATTTATACTGAGTATCAGATGGGTGGTCAGAAAGAATTAGTAAAAAGGGGACTCTGGTAACGAAACAACTAGGCTCCCAATGGCCCACTTAATATGTAGAAGAAAATGAAGACCATTGATTGACATCACGCCGGCTCTCATTTGGAAGCAGGGTGAAAAACAAGGAATTGGGCTTAGTCCTAGGGTTGGCATAATGGAGGTCGTGTGAGGAGTAAATGAGAAAGTATGATCAATCGTGAAGTGAGTTATAGAGGGCTACAGAGAAAAGGAATAAAGGGAGATGCGCTGTTGAAGCCCAGTGTTCTACTTGGAATGCACGGGAATAATAATCGGAAAGTAAAACACATTGACGGGACCAAATAATGTCCCAGGTAGTAATGATAGGGTGAAAAGTTGTATTCCACAATGATAAATATGTGCTCAAACTAATAGTAAAGTTTCCTTCTAATCAGTGAAAACGCTATATTTATAAACTGGAATTACTTTTATTTTACGTGCTGGGATGATATCTTTCTATTATCCATCGTTCCTCTTCAATGAACTCTTCAACGATTATGTATCATAGTGTTATGGTTTAAATGTTATAACATATACAATTATTATATGGTTTTTAATTCAAGTTTCATTTTCCAGTCGATTGTTTACAGAGAAATGTTCGGCGTCTTCTGATATATCGGCTCCTAGTACAGACGCTTCAAAGTTGTCTCAGAAGTGACTTGAAGTAATTGCTTAGGTGACAGATAGCAGTGAAATTCAGGAGGAAGATTTCGTCTCATTTAGTTCCCGTCAGCTTGATTTACCTGTATTCCACAGTGGGTGGTGGTGTTCCTACTATCCGACAAATTGCTTCAAGTTTATCTTGAGACACCACTGAAGCGTCCGGACAAGGAACAATTCGGTCCAATCAATCATGGTAAAAGAAACAAAATTGAATTGAAAACGAATAATATCTAACACCTGTTGCACAAAATGTGACCATGGTTGCCCAAGTGGTCCAAAGGATAACGCTTTAGAGCTTATAACCATGGCTGCTAGGTTCAAGACTGAGTGGAAACACTATCACACATAGGGGAATGCAGGTTAATTAAGCTGATGAGTCCCGATGAGATAACATGTGCACCTTAAATCCCACTGTTTCTTTCAGCTAGATAAGAATATCTCTTTGATGTGTTGAATTGTGTAAAAAGTATAAAAATAGTTCAGAAAAATCATAGTAATTATCATTTCTTTCTTATTTAATAAAAAATAGTTCAAAATGAGGAGGGTATGTAGTTCAGTGTCCAGTTGAATAAATGCACATTAAAACTCTTGTAGTCAGTAATTATAATTATAAACGTCTTTAATTATATACATACACTTATCAAAAAAGATTCCATTCCCCTTCAAAAGTTTCACTGATTAACTAACGCTTTGCATTTTTGCCGGTTTTTAATAAACTAATCTTTTATGTTAATAATTAATAGTTGCTTGATATACTACTTTAACACCTTTTTAATGGGTATATTGCATATACGCACCTGGAGCAGCAAATTCAAGTTGATAACTGTGCTTACATTGGCTCTTCAGCCCAATCCAGACATATCAGTAGTAAATCACAATTCTGAATAAAAAAAATTCATATATACATCATGCACAACAGGTGTAGCATAGGAGTCAAGTAAGTCTCATGTAGGATACTATCATTCAAAGGAGAACAGATATCTACAGATGATGAGCGCAAAACAAGACGAAACCTGAGAACTGGTTTCCACTACCAGTCATTGGCAAACTCGTAGGGTCATAAATACACATATGGTTCGTTTTGAATATATATTGTATAACACCCAGTTTATAGTGTATTCTATTTTTTTTTAAACCAATGAAGCCATCAGGACAGTAACCGTGGTAGTTCGAGTCCAACAAAGTGAATTTTTGAATATGAAAGAATCACACTTGATAACTGAATGACATTCAGTTTATGAGATTTGTGGGAATTTCAGTTAATTTAATTTCAACTGTTAGATTTCGTCAAGAACCAAAATCATTTAGGAGGATCACTGAGAGACACGGAGTACTGGACAGCTGTTTTATCCCATCTGAAAACTCTTCAGCAGTGCCAACACATGACCTCAGCCGGGATCGAATCCGGGATATTTAGGTTACAAGGAGAACTTGTATATTAGTCAACCAGTAAGACAGAATTCAATTAAGGCATTTAGATCAAGAGATCAAGCTCCTTGACATTTCTGTCACTTCAGTTTGAATTCTGACTTTACCAATTCCCAACACAGCGCTACCTTCAATCAACGCTTTCAATGGGCATCAAATTCATCCTGACATAGTGAACCCCGTTTTTCACGACTTCTCACTACAGTTTCAGGAATTTAGGCATTACCCACGAATGAGATGGAGACTGATGTTAGGATTATGGAACTTGGGGAGATTTTGAATAATCAAATCAAATAGAATGTAAAATAGTAACGCTTCAAAACTATTTTCATTTCTTTTCCCAAAGAAATCTGAATTCAAATTTCATGTGAAAGCATTCTAAACGTTTCTTTACCCTAATATTATTCTATTCACTACAGATCATTTGTTTTGAGCCGTCATTTACACTTTCTTTTTGTAGATAATCCGATAAGACCAGAATATTTTATCAAATATTTACTGGGACATTGAGCTACATTGAAAAAATTTGTATTTTTATCCTATTTTACATAAAAATAAATCTTTCAAACGGTTTCTTTGAGTTTTCCTTTCTGTTTCATTCTTAAAACATCAAATTTCACCATTGAAAAAATAAGCAAATTAGTTACAGAGGAAAATTTTGAAGAAACTGACTTATTCGAAAAACCAGGGAGTACAAGACAACTATTTCATTCTACATTTGAACTCTTCATCAGCACGCTAAAGATATCAGCTCGTGATCGAACCTATAAACAGTCCAATTCCTGCAGCCAACACTTGTCAATTTACCTGATATTGACTGCCAGTTGGCTCTATGTAGTCAGTTACCTGGAGGTCTGGTGAGATGCTATGGCCAGCGTAGTCCACCAAGTTAGGTAGGCGAACAGTTACTTGCCTACGAAATTGGCTAGAGGTTGCGCTATTTATATGTCACGCTGGTAGAAGTTGGGATTCATAATCCATTAGGTTAGATCCCAATGAGTGGTTGGTTTGCGAGTTCGCCATGTAACCGGAAGGTTCTGGTTTTTAACTTCACTGGGTGCGTACTGATGAAGAGTTCCAAACTAGAACAGTCTGGGTTTTTTCAGTAACCCTCTAAATGACAACCGCTCATGATCATGAACACGTGGAAACAAACACATGACAATTATTTAAAAAAAAATAGTAAATAACTCACCTGTGGAAGTAAAGTGATCATAAATATAAAAACAATTGTAAGTAAAAATTTTGTCAATCGATTCTCCACTTTATCACGTTCATTTTCAAATGTTTTACTTTTTCGTTCTCTGTTAGCATTTGGGGTTGGTGTTGGTGTTAGTGTTGTTGTTGTTGCTGATACTGGTGCTGTTGACGATGAAGACGGGGATTCTTTAAGACTGGAAAGTTTAATTATCACTGTGTCGCCATTATCATTCATTATATTATTATTGTTATTATTATTATTATTAATAGTGTTAGTATTAGTATTGTTATTTTTCATATCATTATCTGCATGATTCGCCTTTTCTAACAGATACGATGCATTTGTCATAGTTGTTGATAAATTTGACGGGGATTTCACTGCAATCGCATGAATTCTACCAATTTTCGATTGTGCTTTCATTCTACGCATGCGGGAATTCTGTTTACGTACAGTAAATATCAGCATAAAACTAAGTACACTTAAACATAACAGCGGAAGTAGTTTAGAGAAAATAGCTGTATTCCAATACAGATAGTTTAACATGACTTCATTTTCTTTATATGTCACCATGTAACCATTTTCTTCATTCTCATTATTATTCCGTACAATATGATGCGTGATTACACACGGAATAGTCAATATACTACTTATGATGAGGACGAGTGTGATAGCCAGTTTAGCTCTTTGCATACTACACAATATATGACATTGTACCAAAAATCGTACATAGAGAATACGAAATACAGCTATCACAACAACAATATAACTTGAAGTTAAGTGTAAAAAATTTTGTAAATTTATATGAAATTGTAAGAAAACCGCCCAACTATAACTTGAATTCCGTGTATGCCGACCAATGAGAAAATAACTTGCAAATGGGATATAAAATATCATTAGGAGGCCATCACTTATTGCTAAAGATGTCAGAAGAAAATTTGTTGGCGATATCATACTACGCTGATTTAGAACAATTACAATGCAAATATTAGATAGTACACAAATAGGGCATAGAAACAGTGTGATATATCCATGCATTTCGCCATAAACACGTCCAAATGTTTCTAAAAACTCGATAGGTTCACATTCAGTTGTATCCAATGGCGTAGTTAATGATGTTGTTGTAAAGTATTCAGTTATTTCTGTCATTGGTAATATTGATAATAGATTAGTTGTTGATGCGAGAGTCTTTTTGTGTTGAAATATTCAAGTAACTGGCTAAATTTTTAAGCATTAAACAGAGGATTGAGAAGAACACACCATCAGAAGAATCATAAAACAGCGATGGTTGAATAATCTGAAATGAAAAATGGATAGAGATTAAACAAAATGGTTAGTATTGTTGGATGACGTCATAAATTTTCGCCTTATACGTGATATTTATTACCTTGTAAAATATTTATGAAACATTTAGTGACAATAATTAATGATATCGCCTTTCAATGCTTATATTACTGAAGGAAGAGATCTAGCTAGCATTGTGATGTGGCGATCGCCACTTCCCAGGGTTAACTGAACTATGCGAAAAAAAAAATCGACAGAATAATTTAACACTCTTCATGTTTGATAAATGCCTGTTGTGGTTGTTAAAACACACCATAGCTGACTATGTGTAGTTTCTGTCTCTTCCAAATTACATACTGAATATAAATAAGTATCCGTTTCTTAGGAATAAAGGCATTATTGATTTTTCCGTCTTTCTGAATATATGTACATCAACTTTCTAGTATCAAATCATCACTGAGTTTCATTGAAAAGACATAAAAAAGACTTTCAGGCAATATCGAAGGTTGAGGAATTATCTTCAGATATTTGAACACAGCTGTTGAATGTATTAGATAATACGCACGGCTGATTCGTCAAACACGCGGACATATGGTTCAGGCTTGATTCTTGAATGACTTACTTCTGAATCTCAAGTGACCTGTAGTAATGTGACGACAGAAGACAAGGGCCAGGCAACAGACCTTTCATTCAGAAAATCAAGATATATTTATAGATTCTTATGTACATTATAATTATTAGCGCTTTTGTTAAGAGAGAAACAACGTCTTCTGATTGGTTATTTTCCCGCTAAAAGTTGTTCTGTCATTTCTTAGAAAGTCAGGCCATATATCTGCGAATTGTATTTGCACAAATCAAGTCTGCTGTGATTGGTTGTTGAGTTCCTCAAAGTTGAGCTTTGTTATTGTTTTTTTCTCATGATCCCAATTTGGGATGTAAACATTGATGTAAATTGTTGTCTACAATTTTGGCTTGCAGACAGCTCTTACCACAATGAGACTGGAAAAAAGGGGAGGTTGTGTATGAGGCTTACTACCTCACCCCGTAAAAGATGCAATACTACTGTTGTCGCAACTTCAGAGCTCCAAGCTTGAAACGCTGTGTTCCATAAGGAACTCAGTGGAGTGAAAAGAAATGAGGTAATACTTACTACTTCAAAAAATACTGGTATACACTGAATTATATTCCCTTTAAACAATTTAGTCATCCTTTACGCACAGTAAACATTCAGTTTTTGCAAAACACGTTTGGGGAATTTATATTGGAAAAAAATGAACAATACGTAAGTTAGTAGGAATTAGAAAATAATTGCTTATCAGAGAAAGGCAGCGGGAAATAAGAGGAATGTGGTAGAACAGTTGTCCGTTGTATCAGTTTTGCTACAAAATAAGGGAATACAGGCAATTACCTTATATAATGAAATATCAACTTGAAAACAAACATCGAAAACTTGGACTTTTTCGTAACTTTTGATTTCATCGGAAATTCTTCAACAATTCAATCTACGGCGTTGCGGATTACCAATTCTGGAAGGTTTCAATGTGTTCCGCTCACACACAAACACACCAACCATTCAGACACTTTTTCTGATGAGTTCAAACTTAAAGTTAATCGAACACCATTGTTTTACATTACAATAATATCAAAAGTATCGTCAACGCTTTCTTCGTTCTTTCATTCCTCTTACTGCAAGTGGAGCATAGAGCTTCAAGCCTCAAAGTTTCAGCAGAGGTCTTATTACCACGCAGCTGAAGTAAAACCCTCCCTCTTTTCTCAGCTTATTTGCGTTTGGTAAACTTGACACAGTTTGAGAGTGTAAAGTTCGGGAATCGAACCAGAAGCTATTGAGAGGCTGGCTAATTTACTCAATACTCCATTGTGAAGATTATCTTAACAGTACTTCTATATACAATTTAGTATGCATTTCAAATCCTAACACTAAAGATCAGGATTAGATATTAGTTTTAAGAATATGTTGTTGTAACGTTTACAAGAATATAGCGGACATCTGAAACAATACCACCAGTTATCCGCTTACGGTTATAATGCCTGCGAGACGAAATGGGGAACTATGATGGTATTAAGTTTCGTATGTGCTTAATTTGTGTATCAAATCAAATTAAATTAAAGTTACGCGTCATGTAGTTTATTGGTGCACATAGTCCAAGTTCAGTTTCAAACCGACGCACTCCTGAAATTAACAAAGTCAGTCGTAAGTCCGTTAAAGCAGAAAAGTTGTACGTTAGGCAAGCAATATCACCTGATAAAAATCAGTGCTTCTGCTGAAAGGTTCGAAAGTCTTTTTTCCATTCAAAATGCAAGTGAATAAAAATAAATTATGAGTCATCTAATTTCAAATGAAATTACAACAGGACTACAAACACCGTGGCTGAACAAGCCACTGAAAATGATTATACAACATGCAGCTAAATTATGTATTTATCTTAGATATCATTATTGAAATTCAGACAAAATGTTTTAAACTGCCTGCTTGGGAAAATGTAAAAATGTCTAGAAATTATAATTACAGCCATACATATACACAAAATAACAGAGAATATAAAAGAGGAAGTGTTTCATCCACGGAGCTTTATTATCAAGTGCAAGCACTTTGAAATTAAAATTCATCCTCATATCACGAACTGGAAATTCAGAATTTCAATCTTGACCACGGATTTACATCAGTTATAGAATTATTGAAAATGAAAGAGATATAGACAGCTATTCCATCCTAGTTTGGAACCTATCAACAGTCCCGAACAAGAACGAAAAAGTCGCCTATTACTCCCTTGTTTCCAATGATTCTCAAACTTATGTCAATCAGTGGTCAAACTTGAGACAAATCACATAGTTACAACCTAACTCTTGAAAGTCATAAATCACAGGTTATTGAATTTTGGGTAAAGTGGTCAAATAACCAGAAATCTGGATTTGTAACCTGGATTTCTTAAGGGTGGATTCCTAGTGAGGTCCTGGATGTGCACTGCCGAAGAGTTTCAAATTAAGGTTAAATAGATGTAAAGCGGTCTTCCCATCTTATTGATTCATTCAGTGATGATGGATTGTGATGAAATCCATGTTATTAAGAAGAAAATTGCAGCAAAGAAAATTTTCTTTTCAACGAAATCATCATCTACGCTGTACATTCGTGTATTTATACCAAATGGATGGGAAAGTTCCAGAGTAATTTCCGGTTAATGGTCAAATTAATAAAAATTACAATTAGGAATTAGAATGCCATAATAAACAGGGGGACGGATAAAAATCAAACAAAGTAGGATCATAATAACTGAAAAGATTGGCATTGTGCAATTGGGAGTTAGAAATGTAGAAATAACAAAATAAACAGGATGTTTGAATAAAAAAAACTAATGTGATGAATAATTGTTAATGCAATCAGGGATTAAATATGCAGAAATAGTAAAATGACAAAATAAACACGAAGTGTTGTGTAAACAGGGTTTAAAAAAAACTTAAAATAACATGAATAAACAGGAAGTTTAGATAAGAAAGGCGATGGGATGGTCATTACTAAAAACATTCTTGCTTATGATGGCCATGGCGGGGATAGGGGTTTGATGTATTTCTTTTGGATACAAAGCGTGGGTTTGAGCTATTGGATAGCTAACGCCTCAGCTATGCCCAGATGTCTTGGTTTCACTCCCTTCGATAGGTTTGATTGAATCTTGTGTATTACTTTGAAGGATTTTTCGAAATGCTCTGAATGTCCTAAATTGACCAGATGTTCTGTCACTGAACTGTATACACGATTTGGGTCTCGTTTTACTAATCAGGCTGGGTAGTGTTGACGAGCGCGTTTTCCAAGTCAGTGCATGATAAGGCCGATGTACTCAGCTTCACAAGAGCAATTAAACTGGTATGTGCACGTTGAGGTGGCCTAATGCGACAGTTTGTCTTACGCGTTCTGGCTGAAAAGTTTCTTGCAGGAAAACGTCAGTCGTAGGCTCGCGGCAAAGTATGTTTACCTCAGCGATTTGGAGAAGCGTTTTCGAAGAATTTCTGCTTCATTGTCACCTTTGAATTCTAGATTGAGGAGGAGTACTTTCTTTGGAACGGATTGCAGCTGTTCGGAAGTCTTCTTATATTCGAGGTTCTTGTCTATGAACCTGGACGGGAAACCGTTTTCCATCGGGTTTTTTGAATATTGCGCAGTTTTTCTTCAACCAATTCCCCGCTGCATATCTTCTGAATCCTCGAGGAAAGAGTGTTTATCAGGTTCCTCTTTCTGCTTAGCGGCACGAAGCTTTGAAAGTTGATGAATTATCCATTCCATGTAGGCTTTTTGTATATCGACCTTTTCAGAGAGTTGTTGGCGTTTCTTGTCAGATAAACATCGAGGAAGTGGAACATTCCATCGGATTCAGTCTCAATTGTAAAGTGGGCGTTATTGAAGATTTGAAGTAGGTTTTTTAAGTTACGATTTTCATCACAAATAATGAGAGTATCATCGATGTATCTTTTGTAGAGATGGAGATCGTTGATAGTTGGTGATAAGGGGTTGTTTTCTAAGCTAGTCATAAAGCAGTCGGCTAGGAGGAGTCCTAAGGGAGAACCCATTTCTACTCCATCAACTTGCCTGTGTATTTCCTGGTTAAAACTAAGGTATAGGTTGAAGGTGCATCGAATTAACAGTTCTTTCAGGTAACGGATCAGTATACCGACATCGATGCTATTGGATTGAATGTAGTCACAAAGGAAACATACGGTTTCTGTCAATGGAACGTTGGTGAAGAGAGACATGACATCCAGAGAGACCATTTTCTTTTCTGCCACATTGACGTTCTTAATTGAATCAACAAAGTCGAATGCGTCACGGAGGTTGTGTCTTGACAGTTTCTCTTTCACCGGCCAGAGAACTCCATCAGCCATTTAGCGTTTGTATGATATGGGGAATCTGTCATAACTAGTATTGGGTGGAGTGGGACGTCTTGTTTATGCACTTTAGGTAAGTCGTACATGCGCGGCGTCATAGAATCCATGTTGTAGTAAAGT